TCGGTCGGAGAGGCAGCTATTTAAGTCTTACTTATTGATTCAGATAGTACTTGGCATACTGAAAATTGGAAAATCATTACGAATCTGCCAATTTTCATAGTATTGCAGGACTAGGTTGCTTGCAGTACTGAATCAAAATGGAATCAATGGATGCGCGTCTTGTGGCGCAAGCATTGAACTACCATGGCCAACAGTTGCAGAAAGTGTGGGAAGGAGAACGCAACGAAAACGAGCTGGCCATGCTCAATCTCAAGGAACCAAATTTTGAGATTTACCAACAGCGGCAAAAGACACTTAGGTACATATTGTGAAATACTCATTTTCCCATTTTATAGTTGTAGAAATGAGCATTAATTTATTAATTTAAATGCTCATTTTTTGTGTAGTTTTGGAGATAGAGGGAAAAGGCTAAAGCTGCAACAATTCCTTGCAAAGAAGGCAGATGCCCTCTATGATAAGTCAAATTTGGAGAAAACCGTTGAACCTATCAAGCAGGAGTTGGGCGATGAAGGTAGGAATTAAATTTATTTTTACTCAGATGTAGCTTTCTAGTTATTGCGTAATGTTGTGTAACTCATAGACTACAAATACACTTTCAGAATTTTATGCAACAATGCCTGGCCTTGACACTTATGTCACCATGGAGAAATCTCAACGTATACGTAATTTTTTGGAGGTAATTATTTATTGATAGTTATGTATATATTGACTTAGATAATATTGTGTAACTTGTATACATTATCAAATTATTTTCAGAGTTTGGTGGTTGGAGATGTTATATACGCGCAAGTGATGGGTAAAAGTGCGGCTGGGCTTCTTCTGAAGGTGCTGTGCAACTGCAGCGACTGCCCTAGGGTTGTTACTGACTTGGGAGTAAAGGTGAATAGGCTACTCATTTTTAATTAATAGTGATACTCTTGAGTGCATTATTGTTTCATGAAATATTATTTAATATGTAGGCTCTAATATTGAACACGGCCACAGTGCCGGCGGTGGACAAGAAAGGTGTTACAAGAGGCTACATGGCAAATGATCTCATCTGCGTCGTAGTCAGTGAAGTTAACGTTGAAGCTGAGCGAGTTGTTGCAGTTATGAACGTACCCGCCCGTGAAGGGCAAGCCCCACACCCTCCTATGGGACTTATCCATTCCGATGATCTTCCAGAAGCTTATAAGTAAGTCATATGAAGTCTGGATAAGTACATACATTTTTTACATTTTATGATAACGCTTCACTAACTCTTATATACTGACATGAACATATCACTGTAGGGAATTTCATAAACACAATATAAGTGGTAAAAGTGTTTTGTAATGCATCCATAGCACTTCTGACTGAACGTTTTTATTTTAAATGAAATAAAATGAAAAAAAAACATCGTTCTATGATCATATGCTTATTGCAATATATTTTGAGAGCACTGTTGCACTAGTGAAGGCAGGGAGAGTCCTTTTTTTGACAGTGGTAGTCTCAGATTTAGGATCGATAATGATAAAAAGAATAATAATTATTATCTCGATTGCATTCAGAATACATTTTCTATCGACAGTATAGTCACTCTTGTTTGTAACTTGCATAATTTGTGAGAGTTCAGATTTATTGCATCTTTAGTATTTCGTTTACTATATTTCACTATTGATAAGAAAAAGGAAGGTAAGGAAAATAGTATGGTGGCCGAAAGAAGTTGAGATTTAACAGACGCACTGTGATACTAACAAAACAAGGTAAATTAGATTTGATTCCTCTTACACGTTTTTATGAATTTAGGTGCCAGACACTCTCAGTAACGTAAAAGTTGATAGTCAGTATGATGATGAATTTCTAATGTGATACAAATGATTCAAACCTTGAGCATTGGTTGACATGGCTCTGTTGCGCACAGTATTCTATCTACGTTTGTGATATGTTACTCTCAAAGCACCAGCCAAACTATGGCGCCAAATGACATCAATGTCTTTTGAGGTTGCATTTCCAGTATGAGATGTTGAGCCTTGGGTGGTCAGAGTGAGTGCTGCAGACGGTAGGTATAATAATGATTTATCGTTGTTTGGTCTCTAATGGTAAACGAACGATAATGTAACTAAGGAAATAAAAGCAAACATACTCCCGAAAAAGTTACGTCATCTTTCGGGGCATTTCATTTAAATGTTTTTACTTGAAATAATAATTAATACCAAAATATAATCAATACCTATATTTTATTATTCACCTGTGTATTACTATTTTTTACGCCTGTATCGTATTATGCAATCGAACAGGGACTCTGGTAATGTGAATCAGAACTCAAAGCGGAGACCAAACAACTAAAATCTTAATCGCCCGAACCTTTACCTTTAAGCCTCAAAAGAATCGCGCCTTGTCATAATAATGCCTCATTTAAACTTACAGCTTAAATTGACAAATAAAAAATATAAAAATATGATGTCATGTTTGAATTGACACCACAAAAATGCAAAAAACAGACGACAGTACTACTACTGCATCTAAAAAAAATTTTTTTGGTCAACTTGGAAGATAAAATATACTCAGGCGTGGCTCCCAACCTATCCTAGGGCTATGCAATTTATTTTATCGCACCAAAAATATAAAACTTATAAAAAATACCAAACCACCGTCGATTGATGATAGGCTGTGTGCTTTTGTGTTGAGAACTCCTCTGATTACAAACATGATACAAAATACTAGAAATATACGTCTTAGCGGTACATGAAAGGTGAGAGACGAGTTTACATAATAATGAGGTTGTGTACCATTTGTAAATTTATAAATAAGAAATTATCTCTGGTAATAAAGGAAAACTTACCAACTTTCTGCAATGTTATCCCTGTTATGGACCCCTGCTGCTTGTTAACGGTACAAACGTAGATTTTGATCGACTCTAATACCACGAGGTGTCTGATTACAATTTTCACTCTCTCTCTCTCTCTCTCTCTCTCTCTTTCTCTCTTTCTCTTTTTCCGTTTTTCACGCCTTTTTTTACTCTGTCTCTCATTTCGAACGGACGAGAAATCCCATTTCCTTTGAAACATCTTTGGCATTAGTGTCGTATCGTTGAATAATTCATGCAGATCGAAAAAGAAGAGATGCAAAAAATTGTTATGCAGGGACAAATGAAACCATGATGGGGTGTACCGCACGTTTAATACACGTGTAAGGAACAACAGCCGAAGGATACGTACACTACTCTATACATTAACTATAGATAAGACGACGAGATGTCGAAAACAGACTGAAGGGAAAAACCTATTATCAATAATCTAAAGAACCTTCTACCAGGATAATAATGAAACGAGGATAAAAATGAACACGAAGATTCGGTCATCATGATTATCAAGTCTTTAGTTTTACCGTTAACGAAGTAGCTTTGGTATCCTTTCTTTGGCAAAGGTCAAGACGATCTTTGCATTTCGATAATCGGTCCTCTCTCTTTGTGGTGTAGGAAAGCGATGGACAACAAAGGGCAATCGTACGAAGTGATGTTGGAGAATAGTACTGGCTTCAACAACCCCAACAACATTAAATATCTGTCCGACTTGATGGGCCTCGGCCAAGAAAACCATTCCAATATGGTTGGCTTGAGGTAAGCGATTAAATCTTTTTAGATCTCCTCTGATCTAGATTATTAAAATAAAAAAAAAAGATATCCTCCCTATAATCCTTCGACGCAACTTTTGCAGGGAGAGATTCCCACCTAATGAATATGCGTCTGAATTAAGGCAAGCGCAAGCTAGTAAGTGGGCGTTCCGAAGCGTTGCTGAAGGAATAGACCACTTCAAGGCCGGCCGTCATACAGAGGCCTTCCAATGCCTCAACAAAGCATTAACCGTAGATCCACGAAACGTCGAAGGATTGGTAGCCCGCGGAGCATTGTGAGTGTCTGACATTTCAATGGGTTCATGAAATTTTCTGATTGTACGCTTACTCATGATATATATTTTTGGTATGATTACTTTTTGCAGATACGCCAATAGCGGTAGCTTCAAGAAAGCTATCGACGACTTCGAGACAGCGTTGAAGTTGAATCAGACTCATGCAAACGCTCGCAAATATCAGGCGGAGACTCTGGTCGCTTTGGGTCGGAGTTACGAGGATGAGAAAAAATATGAAGACGCGCAGAAAGCGTATGAGAGTTGTCTAGCGATTGCTCCTTACCACGAAGAAGCCAGGAACTCCATCGAGTACATAAAGTCCAAGACCTTGACTTCATCTTTGAATCCTTTGGACACGTTCAAGAGCTTCGAGGCGGAGAACGATGTTGGTGAGAATAAAAAGGAAAAGAAGAAACGCAAGAAAGAGAGGAAATCGCGTTCGAAGAAGAGACAGAGATGGAGTTCCAGTTCTAGCTCGTCATCGAGTGGATCTTCGAGCTCTTCCAGCTCGGAGTCCAGCAGTTCTTCTTCATCTGGAAGTTCCAGATCGGCGTCCCGGTCACCTAGTCGCAAGCGCAAACATAAGAAGGATCATCGAGGATCATTATCGCCTTTAAGCAAGCGCATGGCCCAGTACAACAATCCACCGGCTGCTACTACGGCTGCTCACGACGTGATAGCCCCTGTTTCGTATAGCTCAAACGCTCGCGATAAAATGGACGACTACGAGATAAAAGTGAGGAAGTTTTTGGAACAAACTAAGGACGATTCCGATTACGAAGATAAGGTAAGCATTATATATTTTATGATCTCTGTAGCTTTTTTACATATTGTATTCAAGGGATGATGGATCTTGTTTGTTTTATCGTGTGCGTAGGTAAGAAAGTTCTTAGAGGAAACGGCTAGATGGAAGAGGGAAAGGGAGAAGGAAAAGAAACATTCAGAAAGTGAAAAAATGAAGAAGAAGAAGAAGAAGGAGAAGAAGGGCAAAGATAAAGAGAAAGAGGACAAGAAAAGTAGAAAGAAGAAGAAGAAGGAAGAGAGAAAGAAACGGAAGAATAAGGATAAGCTTGAACGGGATTTGGAAGCGTTGAAAAAGTCCTCGCTACCGGACTTGGAACAATTGGAGTCGAAACTTAATGCGTACTATGCAAAAGTTGAAAAAGAGACCGCTGTTTTGAAAAGGTTGGAATCACAGCCAGTTAACGATATTTTGTACTCGTTCGTTTTATTTCTACGTAATTGTGTAGATGATGTTTTTGCAAACTTTGCATTTTGTTTCTGTTAGTCAAGTTACCGGAGTTTGATATAATTTTTTAAAGAAACATGAATGGAAACGCGGTCTTTAACGCGCCGTATTTTATTTATGTTTTTATATTTACTAGGTATGTAGCTCAGTATAATGACATACCTTCCCCTCTTAGCAACGCGGAGAAGCTCGCTGAGAGTTCGCGAAGGGAGGAGGAGCTGCGCAGAGAGAGGGAAAGGGAGAGAGATGAGGCTTCGAAGGCATATCACGAACGGGAATCTAGAATACCGATGACAGCGCAACAACGTAAAGGTATCACTTTGAATTCTCAAGGAAAGAAGGTGTAATCTATATGCTACATTCCACTTAATGCAGACTTCGATCTTTCCGCAGAGATTCAACGAAAACCGTTGACTGACATATTCGAGCAGGAATCCCAGTTGATTCATGAAGTTATAGGGCCAAAGTTACCTACCCTAGATACAGCTGCGTTGAATGCTAAATGGAAGGCTGCACAGGCTGCCAGGTACGTTGATTCAATAACAACTTCGCATTTCTCAACAAATGAACGATTATTTATGAGGCTCATTGTATGTTTAGGCAAAAGGACGTTATGCCTCAGAAATGGCAAGATGTTCCGCCTGAAGGTAAAAAGATGCAGCCTAGTGTGGACAGTGAGGAGGACGACGATAACGAACTTGAGGAGAAATTGCAGCGCGCTGCCTTGGAAAAGTCAATGAACATCCGTAAGCAGATGCAACGCGAACTCGCGGAGAAGAGAGCTGCACAAGCTCAACCAATGTCCGCGCCAACTCCTCCACCGTTACCCAAAGAACCACCGATACCGAAACAAGCGCCGGTGAAATATCCGACACCACAGCCGCAAAACAAATTCCAGTCATATAAAGACACCTCGCTGTCCGCGCCACAGACGACACCCACCAAGTTCAGTTCTAGTAACAACCTGGGTGGCAAATTTCAACCGATCGGACAAAGTGGGAATAGTGGTGGTGGTCATCCACCAGAACCACCTCGTCCGCCTCCACCAGCAAAGAACCAGAATCAAGCCAAAGGACCCAGAACGGACTCCGACAGTGAAGCTGAACGACAACACAGACAAACACCTAAGAAACGGGAGTCTACAGGTAGGGGTGGTGTGACCAAGAGAATGAGCAGGGATCGTCCAGCGAAACGTTCACGTAGTAGATCGCGCAGTGCCTCCAGTTCCGGTTCATCCAGATCTCGGTCGCCTCGAAGAAGTCGATCCCGATCTTACTCAAACAGGCGTTCGGGCAGTTACGAGAGGAAATACAGTCGATCCCCGTCAGGCACTTACAGTAGATCACGCTCCAGATCACGATCCAGGTCTTATACCAGAAGTCGTAGTCGCAGCAGGTCTGGCGATAGGAGTTACTACCGCAAAAGGCAATTCCGGCCGTACAACAATCGCGGTACTTACTACAAACCTCGTTTCCAAGGCTTCAATAACCCGAACCATCGCGGCGGTGGCAATAATTTCCAGAATCGGAACCGGTTCTACAACAATCAACATAACAATCGGTTTGGTAATAGACGCGGCGGTGGGTTCAATAACCGTGGCGGCGGCAGGGGACGCGGTGGTAACCGTGGCGGCAGATTCTTCCACGGTAAGCAGGGCTTCCGCGACTTCAGGGACAGGCGAGACTTCAGAGATCGTCGTGCCGCCTCTCGCGATCGGTACAGCGATCGTAGCTACTCACCTGACCCGATGAGGAAGGTCGACGAGGCAAAAGAGAAAATCAACAAGATGCTCGAGGGCGGTGATGACGTGATGGAACATCAACAAGGTGGTGGAGGATCGAACGTACCTCCCAGCAAGAGACAAGATGGACCTTTGAGCGAGGGTGAAGAGAGGGACGACGATGACTACGAGAGGTGGGGAGAGGGCGAGGGGGCCGACACAGCTAACAAGGTTGGTTAGGTATCTTTCGCGGAAGAACAACCAGTCTCCGTGATGACGATCATGATAATCCGGATGATGATAATATCAGGAGCATATGATGAGGATAAAATGATGATGGTGATGATGGTGATGAGCCACACGTGCAAGAAATACGCGACCTAGGAGCCAACTAAATCTCGTTTGTTACTAGAATGAGGAGGTTGGACCTGACAACGAGAACCTGGAAGGCAAGGAGTACTTCATTGAGCGTATGAAGCAGCGAAGCAAGAATGTTTTAATGCAGAGAGCCCTTGCCGCTAAGATTTGGTAGAAACTCCCAGTTGCCGTTGCTGCTTCTTCGATTCTTCTCCTTCGTCTGTGATAATAATTAACAGTTTCCCTCAACGTTAGACATTGACCGGATCACGTGTGAAAAAACAGACTTCTCAAATAAAGCTGTACCGAACATTTTCGGTATGCTTGAACGTAGCTGAACGAAAACAAACACAGACGAGAATATAATGAATGGAAGAATATTTAACAAGAATACTGTAACTTTGTGGTCATGACGGTCGAGGGAAACCATTTTCTTTTTTCAATTTCCTTTAGCATTTTATCTAGCCGGCCGATAAGTTAACGAGCCGACGTTTCGCTCGATTGTCATGCTTGCACACGAATATCTACACTAAACAGTAAATATTCATAGAAACACTGTGCATGTCGGATCGAGAACGAGAATGCAACACAAAGAGAGATAGAGAAAGAGAGAGTGAGAGAATAAAACCCTTCGTTTTCCTTGTTTTTATTATCGTTAGCGGAAAGATTTTAAACATGTTTCGATTCTAGTACTTATTCTTATATCCTAGTGTCGTGTCGTTCTCTTTTTTATTTTACACGGGACTGTCGCGTAAGTATCCGAGAGTGGAACATGATAAGCGAGTGAGAGAGAGAGTGAGAGTGAGAGAAGCCTACAGACGTGAACACGCACCTTCGAAGGGAAGTATTCGATCACAGTACAGTTCACAAACTTGCGAGTGGCTTTTCATTATCATTCATTATCAAGATTAGTGGACACCTTCCTTTCCTTTTCCAAGGAAATAACTTTACCTCCCTGGACAGGACATCCTTTCCTTTCGAGTCTTTTAGTCATCAAGGATCCACGTTTCCATCCTTCGCGTTCGACGAAAACGAAAACCGTGCACGGACACACCATCGGGTCGCGACTCGCCGTCACGAAAGAAGAGACTGTCCGCCAAGCAAACGAGTAGCCCTTGTTCAAGAATATGTCGACAAACATCTCTCTGGATTCTCCACCGCATCGTTTTGTTTAGGTACACTTGTTTATCACCTGGCCCCTACCCGCTCTTTATTACGAATACTTATTTTAAGGTATCATACAAGTAATTTACCTAGTAAGACACTTATATATGTTGTATGTAAACGAGTTGCTGTACAATTCAAAGAGATCCGCAAATACATAACACGAAACCACAAGGCCAAAGAGACTTCTCTCTTCGTCTTTTGAAATTGATTTTCAACCCGTTTACACTTCGAAGAAAACGGAAATGCTCGTGCGTGTATCGTTCCGTTCATAATTTATTTTTTATCTCTCTGCCACGCCATTTCCAGACCATTGCCACCAAGCAGTGGAACTGGTTTATTGATAGCGCACTGATTCGGATATCGCTATGCGCGTTCGCGTTTCACTATTTAAACTAAAGACCCATGATCGTTGCGCGCATTCGTTCGCATCGACTCTACGAGGAAAATGAAGTGTTTACGAGTTAATTGTGCTCTGATCGCGTTCGTTCTGATAGTGAGTCAAGAAATCACGATGGCTACGGTACTCTACAGTAAGTTGCACTTTACCTATCGCATGTAGAGACGGGAGGATACGTTTCCTTTTTGTTTATTTGCTTTTTTTAAGAACCAGATATAGTGCAAACCGAGACTTGCGAGGAGAACGAAGTTTACAGTTCATGCGCGGGGAATCCGGCGTGCGAAAAAACTTGCGAGAATCTCGACACCTGGGAGTCCGCTGGTTGCACGTACAAGAGGAGCTGCATCGACGGCTGCATTTGCAAGGAAGGATACGTTCGCGACAAGAATCGCGTCTGCGTCTGGGAGAACCGATGCCCAAGAGTCAAACACTAAACACTCGGGAACGCCAAAGGATAAAATGAATTCGCATTCAACGACGAACCACGATATCTAGTTTAAGAAACGCAAGATTAATCCAGATTCTTTATTTTACAATTGTAGTAGTCTGAGTATTCAATAAAATTGTTTGAAGAATTGAAAAAAACAAACAAAAGGAAACGATTGCAACAGTCACCGGATCCACGCGTTTCGTTTTTTCCAGGACGAATCCTTTCCTCGCCCTGCGAATAAGAGATGCGTAGACGCATTTTGGTAGAAACTGGTGGGGGAATGTGGTGGCGCGCGATATGATAGCGTTTTGAGATGGTTCAGTTCCGCGCCGTCTTTCACGTGCGCGACACATTTCGGGAAACGAGAAATCTTATCGGTGCCGCGGTTCGCGAATTTGAAGCTCGGTCGTTGAGTTTCTTTTCATTTTCGTTCGCGAGAGCTTTAACTTTCACTAGCGACGCGTCTTTCTTGTTTTCGTTCGGTGTAATTCGTTAAACCGAAACGCGAAAGTTCGCCTTGGTTCGCCGATCCATAATCAACTTTTCGTGATCGTCACACGTGATTTCGATGAACGTTGTAAGGTTCACGTTCGGTGTTCGATGGAATAACGTTTCTCGTTTTACGTTTTAGGTCGTTAGAAGTTTGATGTGTGAGTGATACGAGTGTTCCGTGGATATTGTCATGGATACCACTGCGTCGCAGGCGGTTCGTCGAATGAGTAAGTACCAGGCAAACGATGAATTCCAATGATATTCGAATCCGTGATTGCGGCAATTGATCGCGAGCCGGTCGTAGCCGAGTCCTGCTCCTTATTAAGCACGAATTACCGGCACAGCGGTGACCGCTGATTATTCTCTATCGAGCGGGCCAAAAAAAGAAGCCCGCGGCCACCTCGATCGAGCATCCCCGGTGGGTCCACCGTCCATTGTGATTTTAATAAGCCTTATGCAAATTACAAATGAAATTGTCAGCGGCAGGCCCGCGGTCCATTCTTCGTCGTTGATGGGGACAATTAGAAGAGCTTTGTCCGGCGACCACGCGTTGTCCGGCTGCTCGGCAACTTGAGTCCCAACGAGAGGACCGCCCGCCAACCCCTAATGTTTGTATCCGGTCCCCAGGACGTTCACTTCCGACCGGAGAGTGTCTCTCCGCTTGCTGACCATCGACTTCTTCGACTCGTTCGTTGATCGACTGTTCTCAACGTTTCGCAGTCCTCTCCGAACGGTTTAATCGCATTTCTAATTCGATCGACGCTCATTGACACTCGAACCGTTATCGTACGATAATCGAAGTCCTGTTTAGAAGCGCTTTAAGGAATACTCCGACGTGATAGTTTGTTAGTTCCAGCAGAATCGGCGATCAAGATCGTTCCCCTTGTTTGTAGAAGAAGCAAGAACGTAGGTTGTAGCCGAAACAGTTTGGTGGCCGGTGATCGAAGGAGGGCGAGGAGGAAAAAGCGAACAGAAGTCGCGAGGCAGAGCGGAAAAGCGGAAGAGTAGGCGGGTGGTTGGAAATCGAACGGAATCACGGGGGCTGGAGGTCGATGGTTTGGGGTGGAGATAAGTTTTTACGGTAGGGTTACTAACTTACGGACTCGGCATTGTCGAGTTCCCGGTGACGGGAGGACAATGCGCGTTCGGGACACAATGCTTCACTCTGGAATCTGAAGGCAGTCTTGACTATCAACCTGCAACCACCCCTCGCATCTGTGTCTACCAATACTCCGGCCCCTCTTGCACATACCTCCCCTCTTCTATTGCCGGCCGCGCCTTCGTCGTTACTTTCTCATTCTGACAGGCTTCGCTTCCACCGAAGGTTCGCCCGAAAAAAGAATCCCTTTGTCATCGACGACTTTCGGGAGGGGCGCTAACGAATCTTGCTCGAATCCATTACTAGTCGCGCTACCAGCTCCGAATCGTTTCTATAATCTTTACCGTACAGTCTAGATCTTGAGGGCAGCGGAAGGTCTTTAAGGAAATCTCAGGTAGCCCAACTCGCGTTGCTCCCGCGATCAAAGCGGACGATGCAGCGACAGCTACGAAGGCAGAAACAACACGCGCAGAGTGCAAAAAGACGCGGGGGAGGAAAGAGTAGTAGGTAAGGAGGGCGGGACGGCGAGGGCGAAGGGAGGAGAACAAGAGACAGACGGCCAGGCATTTCAATCGCTCTTAGGCTCTCTCTTTGGCTTGGCTTTTCCGTTTCTTTCTTGCACAAAGGCTACATTGTTTCGTCCCTAGGCTCGTATGGACGCGGGCTAAAATACTCCTCTTTTCTGTCGGCTGCGCGGATACACCGAAAAGCAGGCCGCAGACAGTGAAGCGCGCGCGACACACGTACACGTACGCCGAAAGCAACAGAGCGACGTTGCTGCACCATCGTCAGCAGCGGTGGCGGCGGCGTACAATCCTTTCTCGTACATTCAATGCTCGTCGCCCACTCGGTATCCTTTTGTCGCTGTTTATAGCTCCCGTAGGCCCGGTATTCCCCGCTGTACTCGGCCCCGGTACTAGCCGACGAGAGCGCATTCCGGCTTAATTCTGTATCGTCTAACTGGACCGTGGAGGGAATCGTCTGTTGGCCAGGAGACCGTGTATCCCGCGAATCCCGCCGCGGTCCCCGGTGTCTTTTTGCGCTTGCTCGCTCGCCGGTCGGATTAACGGTCGACTCGCATCAAACGTCGATGCACGAGCACGCCTCGCAACTTCGTTGATATCTCCATTGTCGCCGGAAACCGCCGCGGTAATTACATGAGAGAGGGAAAGCCGGGGAATCGTGTCTGACCAGTCCATTCGGTGTTCACTGAAAGGAAAAACCGAAGGGGGCTAGGAACTGGTGTTCGTCTGATCACGAGCGCGCCATTCTACTGCGTTTCGATTAGACTTTAAAAGTGTGCTCGTCTGATTATACGAATGTGAATCTCCTGAAGTTTCTTCGGTACGACACCAGGCGCGTCTAGGATAATCTAAACCAGCTGTTATTTTCGAAGTCTGCTATTCTAGACTTCTAATCTTAATCGGAGTGGAGCATCAGGAAAAGTAGCTTTTAGGCTATCCAGTTGTATCTCCTGCCAGGATCCTCTCGACCGTATCAGCGCCGAGTATTTGATCCCACTGATACCCTGGAAATCTTTTTTTTTCCGCACGTGCTCGGACGCTGGAACTACCCTAAATGATGGGTCGCTATTTATTCGCGGCGAGAAGCTTCAGCGCGATCCTTAAGCCGCGGAGGCGTAATCGGGGATGGATAAATCAAGCGCGGTCAAGGGTTCAAGCGATAGCAATTGTCCGAGCGGACCGTGGACAGGAAATTAGTGGATCTCGGCATGAAAAATCTGTAGCCGGAGGCGGAGGCCGGAGTGCCGGAAGGTTATTCGTGGAGTCGGCGAGCTTAGAGCCCGCTTTACAGGCGGATACAGCAAGAGTGTCCTGCGCTCTATTGATAAACTCTCTTTCAATAGACGCGGATGCCGACCCCGCTGTCGAGTATCGATAATATTGGAGCGGTGAACGCCGGCTCGGTTGAATGTCACAATGTGCTCCAGTGATTAATAGACTTCCGCGACTTTTATCGAAGTAAGATGTAGCGCCGTGTAACGCGGCCGCCCGTCCCGTCAGCGAGCGTCCGCGCTTTTCGATTCGAATCGAACGATTCCAACGATCAACGACCTTCGGCGAAGGTTCGATCGGTCTCGCGCGAGACAAAGGCAACGAAGTTTTCGGGGCGAAGAAGAGTCACATCGGTGCCCGCGATGATGCACCGGTCTCGCTCGGTCCCGCGACAAAGCGGGGCGGAATGCCGCGGCGAACCGCGTCCCGTTTCCACGAATGGAATAAAGCCGCCGAAACTGGGCCTCTCGGCGGTAACACGCCGCCACCCAGTATAATAATACCGGCTGAATGCGAGCGTGTATGCACGCGCTGGCATATAGACGCAGGAGAACCACGAGGCTGGCCAGTGCTCTCCTTTGTCATTCGACGAAAGGCTTTGTACCGATTATCTGCACACGCTGTCACGGGTACGGCTTTTCAGCCTTCTCTATCTCTCTCTCTCTCTCTCTCTCTCTTACTCTCGCCCTCTCCCGCCTCGTTTCTCCAGTGCGTGTCATTCTGCCGTGATTCCACTGGGCCAGGCAATACGGGACACCCTATACACACGGGGTGAGGTCTAGGTTTGAAGGCTCGTAATAGTTTAGCGTAATCCGGCGTACCTGACTTGGCTATTAGAACTCGGCTAGCGCCGGCCAACGATGTAATCCACGAACAGTGTTTTCGCGAGCGCTGACCAACGATGCGCCTGGATCTTAGGGGTTGTTCCGGAAAGCTTGTTTTAATTGGATCACCCGCTGACAGGGGGAGATTGTTTTTCGAACGGTTCCGCCGTGAGGTTTTTCATTTGAATTCTTTTTTTGAACGGGATAGTTGACTGTCTCGCGGAACGAGGGACGAATTAATTAATAAATCGTGGCGACCGATCGAGGAACGTATTTCCAATATCCGTCT